AGTATGTCAATTTATCTACTCCACTTCTACAGTATACACTACTTTAAAAATTAATCAGAATTTTTTATGCTTCTGTATTGGAATCACCCAATTGTTAATCATATGTGACCTCTGTGACCCTGTGACCTCTGCACCTCCAAGGCAGAGAAGATGGATTCTGAACACTCTCCTCCTGCCTATCCTTTGAAATATCACCAGCTACACAGAGCCGTACCGACCAGCAAGCATGAACTGAATGAGTGATAGTGCTGACAGCTTTGTAAGCTTGCTGGCACTTGGAGAGACCTAGGGTTTGCTATTTTGCAACAAAACTGAGGACACGTTGGCCACCTGAAGCCCAGTGGAACACTGTGGGACTTCTCCAGTTACAGTATGTGTTGTCATCTGGGGAATCCTCACCAGTGGCTCCCCAAAACCTGCATCTGCATCTCCAATAAAGCAGACATAGCTTTAAAAAGGTAGAGGTCGAAGACCAAACACTGGACTCAGTGCCTTGATGAAATTTATTTAAAGATTCACTTAGCTACCAGCTGAGCAAGATGGTCAGGGCTTGTGGGCCTCCTCTCGTTTGCAACCATTTTTTGTTCTTGTGTCCTGGAAACGTCTAGAAAAAATGTACTGTATAATATATGAGGTAACTTTTAACAAGCCTTTGTTGTGCAATATTAACAACATTCACAGGCATGTAGTCAGATGCAAACTTTTAAGCTTCTTTAGCACCTGGGAACTTTCCTTAGGTTTAAGGAAAAGAGACTTTAAAGCTTGCATTATCAAGAAATTAATAAAATCACAGGATGCATACCCTCAGGTTCACTGCATAATTATTACGTTTTAAACGTATGCAGCAGTATGGTCATGAATACTTCAGCTACACCCCCATGCACACACCACTGTCCCCAGCCCCCCTCTCTCCTCTCAATGTCAGAGATGATGAGGAAGGGGCAGCAACATTCCTTCGAGGTCTGGCAGACTCAGAAGCCTCTCAATCTGCTCCCCTGGGACATGGTGACCTTGTGTGACAGTAATTAAACATCTAATTTACAATGTTTCTCTTCCCTCTGAGACGTTTTCTTTCACTAGAGCCTGATAGCAGCCTATGACCCAGAGAGAATACAGAGCACATCTTTGTGTCTTATTAGCATGTAGTGTGGGAGGAGCGGGTTGCTCTCAATGTCCCCTAGACTGCTCTTTAATGTAATTCCCCTGCCTAGATTACACAACAGAGCCCCCCACAGTGCCCCGATTGCCGCATGGGTTGTGTTACAGTCGTGGGGCGATCGGTATTAAGATAGCTCTTGTCCTGACCTGCGACCCCAAAGACACGCCTACACACAGACACGGACACTACATCGTTCACAGTAACACACATTGTTGAAGTTCAATGAATATTAAGATTAATATGAGTCAAAAGGCGGTTCTACTCTGTCACTACAAGGAGCATGGTACTGGGTGACCTTAGTATTTATATTGAGAAACAGAGACAGCTTGCTTTCAGATTTTGAATTCAAGTGCTGCATTTTTTTAAGCATAGCCTGTCAGAATGTTGTTCTGTGCTTTTAGAAATTTAGAATTCCCAAATCTTTTTTTCTTTACTTCCACCCCCCAGTTTAAGAGCCATCTCTTCTTTATTCACTGAGCCTACCGTGTCTTCTGAAATCCCCCATAGTTAACATTGAAAACTCACTGAGAGACCTGGGGTATTGAGGGGAGTGCAGAGGCTGTTATTCCTTTTAACAAGCTCACACACAGAACCATAATAGAGACTCTCACTCTCAGGCAGCAAACGACAGCCTACATTCAACAGTGAGTTTAGAATGAAAGGATATCAGACTGAACCTTTTTCTACATTTATTTTTTTCAGCTCCATGGTTTTGTTTTCTGATTAGCTTTTTCAAGTTAGGGCAAATTCTTTCTATCTTGAAATCGTGAAATATCTGTTGATGAACAGATATCTGTTGATGAAATAAATGATGATGAAATTACAAGTTCAAGCATGCCAAGTGACACAACAGTCCACAGTGGCCTCAGTCCTGTGGTTATTCTGGGGAAGGAATGGAAAGGGTTCAGACAGCAACCTGTTGGCGCTGGAAGGCAGTTATGATGACATCAGTGTCTAGGGTTTTATTCTATAAATGAATGAAAAGCAAAAGAAAAAAATTAACGGCTTTTGGAGCTGTAGGTTTTTTATACCCCTTTCATTTATTTCTCAACTAGTTTCAAACTTTGACTCTTGTTTTCAGTTGAGAACAATAAAAGAGATTTATCAAGTTGAAGGATGGCGATTTGGTGTCTCTGACAGCGTGAAAGCACGCACAATGTTTTTCCACTAGCCCCATAAAATAAGCTCTCCTGCCTGACACCAACAAACACTGTCCCATGGGCCATCGCAATCCTTATGCCCTGCACATTACAGCATGCATATTGCTACTGACCATCTAAAAAGTAGCTGTGTTTCATTCGCTCTTGTTATTAGACTTTTTTCTTCCATGCTGCCAAGCCAAAATGCTCAATGTTGTCTTTTGTGGTATTTACAGTCCAGAAACAGAACATTCCTTTCTTCTCCTTGATGAAGTGTAGCCCACGCGAGGTCGCAGCTCCCATGAATTAGTCATCTGGCTTGGCCCCAGCCTTCTTGTCACATATTTGTGCAGATACTGAGTCGAACACAAATAAGCTGACTTTTGCCTTTCCTCGCATGGTATTTTCACACACACTTCAAAGGCATTGTATCTCAGGTAAGAGCCACCTTTCTGCTCAGCTTTTGTAAAGACCTCTTGACAGGAGCCCTCGGAAATTGCAACATTTCAGTTTTCAGTGGAGGAGCACAGAAAGGATTGAGCAAGTGTTGCTGGCTTCAGTTCTATTAAGAGAAGTGTAAAAGTGTGGCGTCCTGCCTATGAAGGATGGCTTCTTTAATTTTCAAGATGATACATTGGAATAAATTCAGTTGGCACATTATTTTATTTATTTGCTTAAGCTTTAAAATATTTAATTTTCCTTTATTTCTGGATTGCCGTAGGAAATCAGCACCAAAGGCTGAGGTACATCTTCCACGTTCAGGTGCATGCTCCTGAAAGGAAACACTTTTCATTTTATGGGATTAATGTAATTTAAAGAGTTGTGTTTTATCTGGGCAAATCTCAGAAACACCTTTTATATATCAAGATAATTTAAAAAAAGGCTGCAAGCATTATTTATATTTTAGTGTTTTTCTGTTGCCTTTGGCGTTGTCTTTTGTCTTTGGAGTGTTATTGAGCTGAGCTGAGCTGGCTGTAGGTTTAGTTGTGAGCAACAAACATTTCAGGAATTTTGTGTGGAAGTTCATGGCACGTGGCTATCTTTCAGTTTTCA